TTTCCTGACTATGGCCCACCTGATCTGGCTCTGAGGTGGTTAGAAACCCTACAGAATATAGAACGCACCCGTGCATACTGCCATTTCCTAACATGGCTATCTGGCTAAAGTTCGCCTGTCGTTGTGCCCCGGGCGAGTGACGTTCGCAAAGTATGTTGATGGCGCCTCATTTCGACACGCTATCGAAAGGCATAGACACCCTATTATTGATCGTTTTCCTTAAGGAAATCAAGCCTCTTCGCATCGGATTCCTACGCTTCCACTGTTTGTTGTTAGTCAAACATTAGTGTGTAACACTCTGGAGTATTGCCGCCAGTGGTGATAATCATCCTGAGGACAGGATGCGCTCAGCTAATTGTCCCATTAGTTTTGCGTGCTTTCCCTCATCATTGGCATCATTGACAACAATGCCGTATCAGAATTCGTGGGTTGCACGCTCAGGACGATTGTACTCTCTGTACTGTTGTTCGTTCATCCCGAATAGAATTTCTCATCTATTCGCGTTCTACTTTATGAATCTAGTTTGTTCACTTGTTGCCGTTGTTCTTCGACCTGGTTTAGGTGTCTTTTAGTGACCTTCCAGAGAAACTGCTTCAAGGCCAACTATTCCATCTGGACCTGTTCCTCGCTAATGTCAGCTCGCAACCCCTTACCACACTGCGGCTAGCCTCCAACTGGCCTGGATTTGTCACCTGTGGATCGGGTGACACCTTAGGGAGGGATCCTGATCAAGTAAGTTTTTTGGCATTCGAATGTGTCTTGAAACTTACCTCGTCTCTGACTTTTTTCAAACATGCCGAGATTGCTAAGCTGGTGGCTTGGTTTTCATACAGCACCATTTCAGTTATCCATACTTACGAAACACGCGGTTTCCATTCCTTGTTTCAGCCTCCAGATTCAGCCACCTCACCTGTTTCATGTGTTCACCCAGTTGTCAACCCTTGGTTGGACGTGTCTTTCCCTGAGACTGGAGCTGACTCGGAACATCAATCCATGCCTGCCCGATCGTCTTACTCTCTACCCATGTGGATTCGAGCTCCCCATATCACAAATCCTCATCGCCGCCATCACAAGCGCCATCGTCATGCTCCTGCCACATCACACCAGATTACTTCTGCGGTGAATTATTCCACCGTAGTTCAGACACGAACCGTTCACTTGGTCTTTCACTACTCACCCACCAACCCAAACCCGACCTATCACGGTATCAAGTAAGCATTCACCTCCATGAATGTATTGCTTAATTTCCTTTGTTTTGGACCCTGTTTTCCTTTGGAGTCGTGTTACCGTCCAATGACTGTTTTCGATGGACAGGAATCTTCAAAACCGCCATTCCTCCGAGGGTTCCGCAGCAGTCACGTCCTCGTGTATGATTTACTAGTAGAGTTCAGCGCCCCGCAAAGAGAAACAAACTGCGGCACACAAATCACTTATCAAGCGTTCTCAATAATGTTACCCTCTAGTCACAAACCATCGTTTAATCCCTTCGAAATGACATTATCCCTGGAATAGGTCAGGTAATCCTTCGCTTAGCAGTGTTGTGGGTGCGCTGTTCGGTTGTTGGTCTGTTCGCCGAGCTTGGCAGTTGGATTGCAAACGTTTCATCACCAATCGAGGTGACATCGTCAGTGCGGAGTTGAGCGGGTTGAGCGAGACCCACTCAACCCCGCACTGACGATGTCACCTCGATTGGTGATGAAACGTTTGCAATCCAACTGCCAAGCTCGGCGAACAGACCGCCAATCAATCCCTCGCTTTGCACTGGCGTCTTGTGTTATTACGGTAGAATCTTGGAGATGATTTTAAGTAAATATGGTTCTTAAAGAAACTCGAGCATTTAGATGTGGTAGAACTGTGTGCGGGAATCGGCTTCGCGTCTTATCGTTTGATGGACGACTGTCCGACCTTCAGCGCGACGTGTACATTCTCACCCACTGGTTTGTACTCAAATCGCTCTCAGACGATTTTGTGATTTCCCAGTCAGAGATAGTGTCACGTTGCAAAACAAAACCTACGTGTGCACATGCACTTTCTAAAACTATGCTGCGACATTTCGAAACATGAGAGGACAGGCATGTGTGCGGCATACACAGTTGAATAATACTAATAGTAAATAATCGTTCAGCTGTAGCACCCTTTCGGTGCCTAGCTGTCATGCTACAGTAAATTCGCGCTCTAACCACATGGGCTATTGGTCACGTCATTTCAGTTTTGTCGAGTAAGCACATGCAGATCTCGTCGATGGATTCAACACGAGATCTTTGTTCAGTTAACTACCGGTCATGACTTCTGTCTTTGCCTCAGCTTCACGCCATGGAGTTATCCATTTGTTTGAAACCGCTCTACGAAATATTATTGGACCAATACCATGTTGCGGGCTCGTTTAGTTTCATCTATTAGATTAATCATCCCTGGCTATATACAGTATCCGATATGTAGACACTTTGCAATCCTCATTACGTACCAGAAGCAACAAGCTAGTTGATGTGGATGCGCAAATCGATGACGAAAGTTTTCTCAATGGTAATCGAAATGACTACAAGCTTGGTGGGTTGGCTCGTTCAACAGCTTCACGATTGTGTAGGTTCTCCAAGTGATCAGACTACTAAATTTGCTTCATAGCGAGTGGCACGCGCGTGCTCAGTCTTCCCGCCATCTACATCCAAACTGGAGTATCTGAGAACGAGGATCCTCTCACCGCTATACACCGTCTTTGGCTTCTTTTGATGGATAGTCTCCATCCGGGTGTTTTGGTACCCTTGTTGGTGACTGACTCTATGTTGGATTTGCTTGTACTTGCCCAGTAAGAAGTTATTTGTGGCTGGATCAACTGCGCCGCTACTGCCCAAATGCGGTTTGGTGTCTTCCTCTACAATTCCCGAGATGCTGGAGTCACTTAGCTCGGTTTATACACTATTTCGGGGCGCGATGGCCCAAGTGGTTAGAGCGCGAATTTACTGACCGGAGGGTCCGTGGTTCGAAACCGACCTCTGCCCCTTGACTTCCCCTGTCGATGCTTAGGCGGTATCCCAGCCCTTGTGCCTCCTTCTTGTGGCATGACAGCTAGGCACCGGGAGGGTGCCACAGCTGAATGATTTATTTTTTTACACTAATAAAGATAGTCCCGTCCGAGAAAATTCTTTGTCCTGCTTTACCCTGTGGGAGGTCTCCAGATGATGTGACCATGTCTGGAAAATCTACGAAGTCAGAAGAATACTCAACCATCGGTATGTATGGCAATGGGTTGAAATCTAGTTCACTGAGAATCGGCAATGACATGATGCTGTTCACCAAAAAGGATGATATATATGCACATGTCTGTACCTCTCTCGGTGCTTCCATGGTGTGGAGAAGTTAGATGAAGTTGTCGTGCCCCCTCCATCCTTTAAAAGTCTGGGAAAAATTCCCGTTGTGGAAACGTCGGATGAATGGTAGAGGCATTGGTAATCAACACAAACATTGCGACACTGCTGAGGAGAACATGATCCCACTGACTTGGATTTTAAAACGGAAAACCAAAACTAAGGAATGACATCAGGCTGAATTGAGAAAGCAGATTCGTAATAAACGGGAAGAGCTAGAATCCACTCAAAAGCCGGTTGAGAACGGCACTTCAACCAGTATGGACCTAGACAGCCAGTGCTTCAAGACTTGCAGCTCCCCCTGTCTCACCACAGAATCGAGCGCGCACCGACCACCCAACAAGAAACCAAGTGCTGTCACACCACCAACACCTCGGGCAATGGCCGTGGCTGAAGAGGAGCGTTAAACCTCTGCAGCTACGGGCGGGTTCACCGTCAACCCACAGAGGCGCATCTGACTACCGTTACCGATTTGTGGTCAAAAGCAATCACCTGGTGAAAGCCCAACAACAGCCCTCAAATGGTCGGTTCGTTGCGTCTGAAGAATCCAAAGGAGAAGGAAAATAATAAGAAAAAATCGGGGGAAGGAGTGTCAAATGTTGCTGAAACGTCAAAATCTAGGGCCCCTGGAACAACCAAAGCAGCAACTGTTGCCGCCTCAGCTCAAGATGACCGACCGGCCAGAACGACTCGATTCCTCAAAAGCTACCTACACTATCCGATGCTTTCAATCAGAAGCCAAGTTTCCCCTCAGGTGTGAGGGCTCGAAATGACTCACCAGTCCGTACCGCACCAGCTGCACGTTTGTTCTTCACAAATTGGTAAAATGGACCCGAACAGGCAGCGCTCTCCAAAATTCCCGTCGCCAGTTGTGTTCTGCCTAAGGTGTTGCTCCTTCAGTGTCGGTCCTTGGTTTGAGGTTTCATCCACAAAAAGGTACGGCAGCCTGAGGCAGCCTCTTTATGGAGATATTAGGTTATTACAAGTGCATTTATAAGGCTACTGCCAAGTATTTCACAAGGTCACGCCATAATCTCCGCGAGAAAACGAGAAGCGCCGAGCTATAACTGGCTGATCTTGATTAATTGACACTCTGACTAATCAAGGAACGCCTTCGTTTTGTCCCTAGCCCGCATGTAACATCCGTCCAATCGATGTGATGTTCTACTATTAAGAACGGCTAACCTCAGGACACCACTGGCTGGACCGGCTACGTTCACTGCTCGAGGACAGCACCTTTTACACGACACGCATATCAGGTGAACAGCTATCAGATGCTATAAACTTCAGCAGAGGACGCCTGACGGCACAAGGTGTCTTCTTTTCACATTCCATTTGTGTGTGTAATCACATTAGCTGACTAATTGGGTTTATTGCGCGCTACTACCGTTCGCGGCCCGTGTTGTTTCAGCTCATCGTTTGGTGATTCAGCCTTCTCCGGGTAGACGTGACATCAGTGCTTCTCTTGAACTATGGTAAAACTGACCAGTTGGGTTAAACAGCTTATCATCGGAGACTGTGTTAATGGTCTCCCCATAGATTGGCTTTTCTCGTGGATCGCGTGTAACTGCCGTCTCTTCCGCTTGATGAGTTGACTCACGACCAGCGCTTATCCAGTGAGTCACTACATCATTTTGTCAGATAGGGTTTGGGTGATCGTTTCTGGATGTGACTAACTCCACCTGACCCTCGTGTCGATTTACAGTCGAACTACACCGTAAAGTGGTTGTGTGATACCTAAGCATGGCAGACGATGGATATGCAGTTAGGTCGGCCGCTCCTTGTTTCTCGTTTGCCCTCCCGAAGCCTTGTCGGTCGTTCGTCTCATGTCGCTTTAATGTCCTGACCTGCAACTCCGCTTACCAAAAGATTTGACCAGATTAGACGTGCTTTGTTTTGTAATAATGCTCTCTTTTTCTCTGGTGGATTTGTTGATCGTCAAAATTAATGTGCCACCTCCGTAAACAGTTGATTTTGTAAGTTGTATCCTCTACCAAAGCCTCCTATGCAATCTGCCATCTCTAAGTGGCGACAATAATTTGAGGGTCTCGATTATACGGGTGGCACTAACCAACCCTTCACTTTGTTAACACACTGCGATAACCTTTGTTTGCATTTCAACAAACACACTCATTTGCATATAAGTTTGGTTTTCACGGGAGACTCAGCTGAATGTCCTGTACAAGGGCCGACTCATGTTTCAGTGGGTACGATATCCGAGATATCGCAGTATATTTTCATAAAGGAAACTACTCACATGGTTGCTGAAAACCCTTCGACATCCCCCCACGACCGGTTTCGCCCTTCTTAGGGCTCATCAGGCAGACGGAAACTGCGCCGACTTGATGAACTCAAAGTTGGAGGACCAAATCGATCGTGAGCTGTTGAAGAGTTTTCAGCAACCTTGTCAGTGGTTTCCTTTGTTTACATTCTTGTAAAGTCCAATATGTTTGGGGTTTTCATCATCGATCCGACAGATTGAGGGGGTCCCAAACCTTGATCCTAATAAATTCGTCTATGCTCTTCCATTTCAGCTCCCGGTTTGTCGGCCATTTCTTCGAAATCGAGGTTCAGCCATCATTGCGATTCGAGGCTCTGGCAACATCTAGCTCTGTGTCCGATGTGCGCAACCTTTTGTTGAGTTTAACTGTGGAGAACATGACGTCCAAAACGGTGAGGAAAGCGACATTTCGCTGTATGCAGTTCGCATTAAACGGTGAGGAAAGCGACATTTCGCTGTTCGCAGTTCGCATTCTGACTTTTGTCTTCTGACGCAGTTTTTATTTGTGTTGAGTACCCAACGAAAAACGAATTGACATGATTAGTAGGTCGTGCTTCCGGTCATTGGTTTGTCTACTGCGTTGGGCAGACATTTCGAAATCAGTCGAGGTAACGTCATCCATGCGTTTTTTTTCGGGAGTGGATTGAAGCCTGGCCCTGCCTGTGAACCATCGCTGCGCTCCCTAACGACACGCCGGTAGTGTCTCCTTGCGATCAAATTGTCCTGATCAGCGAACAACCATGTACGTACGTCGAGGTAACGTCATCCATGCGTTTTTTTTTCGGGAATGGATTGAAGCGTGGCCCTGCTTGTGACCCGTCGCTGCGCTCCCTAACGACGCGCTGGTAATGTCTCCTTGCGATCAGATTGTCCTGATCAGCGAACAACCATGTACGCTGTTTGAGCATGCTTACGAGCATAAGTTCCTACATCCCGAAACGACCTTAAATCATCCAGCGGTACAACAGTTCACCTTCAATATAGCACTTGGTTATGTAGGAATCTCCGAGATGGCTCAAGTGGCTAGAGCATCGTGAATTTACTGACCAAGGGGGGTGGTCCGTTGTTCGAACCCGACCTCTGACTCTTGACTTTCCCTGTCTAGACTCGGGCAACTTGGCAGTATCTCAGCCGTCGTGCTTCCTTCGGATTACATCGCGGCTAGGCACCGAAAGGGTGCTACATCAGGTTCTTTTCCTTTCTACTCTCACCTTCACATCATGGGGCTTTTTAGGATCACGAGTATGGTAGTGTTAACGATAATGTCGCTATTTATGCTTATTGTGATGAATTTCTGTGTGCCATCGACAGGTTTTATGTATAATCTCAGTAAACAGTGGAGCATTTCGCAGTTTCTTTTTGTTTGCTTGCTTGTTTTAGCCTATTTTCTCCTTTTTTAAAAATAAATTTCCCCTATCTCATCCCATAACGTTCCGAAATCTCCATTCTTCGTTTGTTAATACCAGACCAGAACCACGTTCGAGATCGCTCAGGTGTGTTGTGCAAGTGGACACTGGACCATTTCACCCGTCACGTCCTGTGATTCAGGTGAGCCTCATACTACCACGTACTTTGTATCATTCAATGAACTAACAAAGTCTCTACCACCTTGATGTCGTTGGTTGATTCGATCTCCTGGAACGAGCTCCTTCGTCAGCGTCAATTAGTTGAGGGTGTTTTCACGACCGGATAGCACAACAGTTCTTCCGGTCTATCTTCTGCTTCCACACCCATGAGTGGAAAACAAAAGTTGGGGGCGACGAAAAAAGAAAGCTTTTTTCTCTTAGCATCACTAGCAATTCAGATTCTAAGCACTAGTGCGTCGCATCTACTCCAATCGTTCGATCTCGATTGGCGGGCGTATCTACCTTCCACGCTTCGCTTCCTTATTCGTGTTGGTTTAGGACATGGCGGTTTAGCATGTAAACGTGCACACACACTGGTACACTATCAAACTACGGCACATCGCTCGGTGACCAAACGTTTGCGAAAAAAAACTCAGCGAACAGCGTAACAAATAGCAACACGATTTGTTGATGCTCCAACTTAGTTAGCATGGCGCATGTTCACAGATGCCAAATGAATTGTCAAGAAACCCTTTCAGCCGGTACTTTCTCTACCAGCTTGTTTGAAGATGCAGAATCACGGTTTGAACTTGTCAGCCGAAATCGCACCCTATCACTGACCGGAAGATCCTTGATCCGGGTCCGACCTCTGCCTCTCGACTCTCCCTGTCTAGGCTTTGGCAACCTGGCAGTATCTCAGTCCTCGTGCTTCCTTTGGGTGACGTGGTAGTTAGGCACCGAAAAGATGCTACAGCTGGACGATTTTTTACGATCGTTGTCATATGAATTTCACAGTAATAAGTCAATTTATCAGCTACAAACCGTCTGCCATTGGCACATTGGTTCCAGCTGCTACAGTCTCGATCACCAGAAAACGGGACATACGACCAATCCGTCTGCCATTGGCACATGGGTTCCAGCTGCCACAGTCTCGATCACCGGAAAACGGGACATACGACCAATCCCTGAAGGCGAAGGCATATTCAATTTGTTCGGAAATTGAGTAGCTGCGCAGTGCAGGCGATAGCTTTGATGCACGACCGCCACTGACTAGTGATTGGGCCATTTCCGCCAATGTCATCAAACACTGGCGATTTGAGTCCCCGGGTTCCCATCCAGGGAGGCGGCAGTTGCCAACCCGACTAAATTTACTGCTTAGTTTCCTCGTACTTCAGAGCCAGGTCATACAATGTCCACATCTAGGTCGCTTCCACTCAGCACAGGGCTGAGCGAAAGGAGCTCTGTGAGGCAGACGGTCTTTTGGCATGCGGAGTACATGACCCAACCATCGCAGTCTATGCAGCGTGAGTAATTCATCTATCGCGGGAGAGTTCCTTCTTCCTCAGACCATCTGTCCTACCTCAGCCTTACTAATATGGCGTTCTCACCAGGCCCGACCTATGCTTCGTAGACACCGATGGTCAAACACTGACATCTTCCGTATGTTCTCTGCGCGTACGGGCCGCGTCTCTGATCCATAAAACAACATGGATCGAACCACCGCCGTGTAAACTCTTCCCTTGACAGACAAACTGATGTCACGACAACACCTCGTTTTAACCGCTTATAGAGTGTCTTATTGCCACCTGCACTCAATCCAGGTATCTCATTTCACACGGATCTGGCTGTGGAAAGCGTCGCAAATCAAAATTTACTCGGATATCACCGTAAGATTGATGCCGATCACCTGACCTTGGGATCCACTCAATCTATTGGCTAGACCTGAGTTATCGCGAACTTAGCCACGGACCAATCAGCGCTCGGAATTCCTCTGGATCCATTGCTGTCTACCTCAGAGTTAGTCCGCATCCCTTTTTCAGCAGTGTAATTGAGCAGTTAGTTGATTTCACCTCGTACCACAGAAAAACCGTTTATTTCGAACCATATACCACGTGCTTATCTATGGCACGTATCAAAATCTAACTTCCCGATGTCTGACCAATGAGAGAGCCGGTTGATTCGAGTTTATCCCCTGCGTGTTTCTTCGTCTATACTCATTGCACTTGTTCTTCGCGTTTCACCCCCCCCCCCCCGCTTGTGATGTTAATCTGTCAGCCAATATTCATTACCAGCCAGGTATTTCGTTTTCTGTCGCCACTTTTTGAAAATACGTAGATCATGATGCATTACCTAAGATGGTCATGTCAGTTGCCCACAATGGATGCAACTGCGCTGGGCTTATTCGCCATGTTTCTTGCTAACAAAAAACAAACTTTGGCTAAATACACTCATTTGCAAACAACTTTGCATTCAAACATAAAAACCATACATTGGAGAAAGGTGCAGTGCACCTGTGTGAATCTAGAACAATTGAACAAATACATTATTCGATCGTCTTGAGTGGAATATGGATTAACGCCTGTCTCTGGCTAAGTATCCAGCCTGTTTTCGTCATCATCGCCAGTTCTGTCTCGTCTGTACATCTGTACGTCGATCCAATCGATTCCACCAAAAATATGGATGCACGTGCTGTGCGTGAAGTCTGTCAACTAAGTTGAAGGTGATTCATTTGCTGTTTTCTAGACAAACTAATCGATCGCCTATTATCCGCTCTTTTTCTACGCTCGTCGTGTGCCGCATTGATCATTGCGTTCTTGTCGGGCGGTGTAAACTGTCTTCTTAGGACATCGGTGGAATAGAAGCGTTTGACTGAAACCAAATAGGTTAACGGTAGATGGTGGTGGATTGTGGCGGATGTATTTTGGGGTCTTGGCTGACCGATTTCAAGTTTGCTTCATCAAGGTACTCTTGTATTATGCTATTCCGCTATTGTTCACTGCATTTCACCTACAACTAATCCACTTGACAAAACTTTCACCGATTCCCTTCCATGTTCTTTCTAGAACACAGAACACTGGCCAAAAGCATCTTCGAAGTTTTGTGATTGCTTACTGAAACCAGCCCCGTTTACTTCGTCTCAATCTCGGGCTGTTATTTGTGGGTTCACCTGTCCGATATCTAACTCACCGGTGGGAAGCAACCGTGGCGTCTGGGTGGTGGGAAATGTTGAGTTCTTTGTTGAAGATTGCTGGCCAGCATACTTTCTCGTTGAACATCTTTCATACCTCTTGATCCTCCAGGTTTCACTCAAGTCTGTCGTGAATAACAGCAGTGTGTTCACGGCTTGTAGACGATATCTGCAGGTGATAAAAAACACACCTGGTTCGGTGGCATTCCCTTCATGCTTCAGTAGCCACTGATGTCTACGGGGTGTTCCAGTAACTCGAATGCAACTAGGCGACCTCATATTGATGCCAAAAACCACTTATTCTAGTCGACGAGACCGCCAACCGTGCGCGTCAGTTTTGTTCGGCCCCCACGCGCCTCATGTGGAAACTTGCCAGCCTGGTGCGGTTGGGTAGGTACGGGACCGGAACCCCGGTCGCGTTGTGATCGGATGTACTGTTTCCGGAGCATCCGAGCTAACAGGTCGTTGTCCACCAGACATGGGGCACGTTTGTTCAGGATCCTTGAATAGCTGGCCCGTTGGATAGTTGAAATTAGCATCAAGGAGATTCAACTACATCTTGTTGCACACGGGAGTTTCCCCAACTCCTTGGTCAATCTGCTTGTGGTTCCGCTTACAGTCAGTGAAGCAGTATTGGTTTACTTTTTACAGATGTCATCTCCAGGTGCTAAGCTACTGACTGGAAGGTTCGTGGTTCGAACTCATCCTCAGCATCTCAGCTGCTCTTGTTGAAGCTTCGGCAACGTCGCTCTGCGTGTAGCGCCTTCACTTAGCTTAATCAGCTTTTCGACCATTTCGTGAATTAACTGTGTTTGTGATCCGTCTGTTGACATGTGGAACGTTGTTCTCTTGGGAGGAGACCAAGTCCGATCTTTTGACACGTCGTACAGCGAATGTTGTCCGATGATTCCTGGTACGTCTCGAGAGATTTTTTACAAGTGACATCTTCGGATAAGTTCCGAAGGTGCTGCTCAAAGGCACCTGCTGTGCGCAGCCGCATCAGGAATGAGACAGTAATGCCTTATTCCCTGCGCCCTCGGGTTAGGCCAACTCCCTTCAGC